CATCACCACAGTGATCAGACTCAGGAAACGAACGCGTTTATTTGCTACCGCAAAGTCGTTGTCCCAAATCCTCCCTTTGCGCACACAATATAATATTCCTAACACCTAGCGATCGTACAGGCCGCTGGGATCGGCCGCGACCGATGATCTCTTTCTATTGTTTTCAAGCGTCACGAAAAAGGCAGCTTGCCGACGCACCACCTTTTATGGTTATGTTTATGTATTATAAACAGGAATTTGGTTGGCCGAGAAGGGGAAACAGTTGCGTCCCCTACGGTTTCCTACCACTATACGAAACACTAGTCGTGCAGAGCTGGCGCCGCCTATTTCAGTAAAACGAGCCTCAACGGCCACGCGTGACGCCGGCGGCTTTTGATGCTACACGATCGGACTTCGATTTTCGGTACTATATTGCTTCAAAGGCGCTACCGCACCCCTGTGCGTAAACGCACCTGCAGCTGAGGCACACATACACAACCAACATTGCGTGCAGCGTCTCAAATAAACGCACGACACTGGCCAACGGTCTCTGACATCCTCAAAACAGTGTTGAACTAGCCGTGTCTCAGCCTCTACTTGTTAACACGCCGAACTATCCCACCCAGTTTTACATTGGTATCATTTGTATCCCCGCGACGAGTCCGGCGGGGGTACTCATGGTTTCACTAGCTCTCGCCAGCCAGCCGAGTTCGCGCTCGTCCGCCGCCAGAGCAATTTCCCTTCCCGCTCGTATAAGCTCGACCCCTTAAGTGATGCCTAGGCATGATACGATACTTGCGGTATGCTTACACTCCTTGAGTGTCGAAGAAGTCGTCAAGAGTACCAAAACCTGGGTCACTGCCAACCTTTAGTGACCTTTATCCTTGCCCTTGATCACATTTCCTTCGCCTCTAACTCGGCCTAATTGCTCCTAGCGCTTGACCAAACTTTGTATACCTGTCATTACACATTGTTGGAAGCAAGACCTCCGGTTGAGCAGAGTACCAAACCAGTGTCTCTATGCGACCGCTAGCCGTACCCCCCCCTCCCTACTCCTATAAATATATCATTCCCACATTGCCTTCCACTCTATAATCCCTTGTGCTAAGTGACTACGCGCTACCAACTTGGTATACCTACACATCTTGGTAGAATGTTGTGTTGCCGTACCAACAAGGTCATTGCTGGCTTTTATTACTGACTTGACCCTTTTGACTAATATTTCCACCTTCCACTCTTATAACTCGGCCTCTAATTGACCTAGTGTGACCAAACTTCGGTTATACTTACACATCCATTGTGGAGAAGGGTGTGTCGCGTACCGAACCAGGTACACTGCACACCTATTTGACATTGCCTTGACCCTTGACCTTCATCATATTTCCGTTCACTCTATAACCTCGGCCCTAATTGGACACTAGCCAGTGCGAACAACTTTGTCATCAACATCTTCTCGGGCGAGAACACCGGGGATACATGTAGTTAGCGACAAACTGCCCTTTCTAGTTAAAGTGTAGTATACCCGCCGGTTCGTTGGCGCGCACGGAAAACGCAATATAGCAGAATAGAGTCTCACCTGGACGATGGAAATTCACTGTATTATACCAACATTCAAAAACACCGCACGTTATGCATAGGAAAATTGATTTGACCACACTCATACCACGCAATACATGTCTTTTCGACAGATTGCTGTGCACTTCAAAAATTCACCAAAATTGGCGTCTCAACAACGCGAACATCAATTAAAACAAAAGGCGGTTTGCAATTCTGTTTATTAAAATATTGAGTTTTTATGTCATAATTCAGAGAACTTTCTGTATTGTATTCCCTGTTTTTGTGTTCACTAGTCTGTTGTCACTTGCCTCCTAATCCACTCAAGCTTCTCTGAATAACACGCTTTTCGTCTGGAGTCAACTACACCTGTAGGTCTATCTCACCGCTAGTAATGACGGCTGTTTCACACTTCTGACTCTGAGATTCTACCGGGTCAGTGTATCGCAGTCAGCCATCCCACCGGTGAGGTACGATCGATGGATCGCTGCCTACCACGGAAAATTCGATGGACGATGTATGCCTGTTCAACTACACGCACGGCAACTGAGCGGATGAAAGTTAAATCCACGTGACAAACGAACACAAATTGCTACACGCTGTATGAAATTCCTGCGGGTGTCGATTGATTTCATTTGGGATTGTGATTCGATGTGTGATCGACGGATGCATGCGTCCTTCTTTACAGGACCAATTGCTTGTCAAGATGATCGACGTTATACTGTGCCTACGTTCACTCCCGTGTTCGACTAATTGCTGATTGTACTGTTTCACTCAAGCCGTGTGTTTACATAGGAACTCGGGTGATATCGCTTAATGTTCAATACAGCGTACCGTCCACAACAATGTCCGGGACATGAATGAACGCGAAAACACTAGAAAATCTCGCGGTACCACGCAACCTTTCTTCAGTATGTCCCACGGCTGTGTGTCTGTCGCTGGTTCAATGAAGTGACGCGGGTGTTACCACTGATATTGATTTACCTTGCGGTTGTGTTAATGGGGCGAACATGTTGAAATCACGTCGCATGGAATGATTCACTAACCGCACTTTTCTGTGTCACATAGTTTTCTAACCCTGAATGTCGCAGGCCCCCCAGTTATACGCTGCTACGTACAAGTTCTTCTTGCAACGATTCAGAGCTTTTTCACAAAATCAGACCCTTGGGACCGCGTGAAATCGCGGAGTCACGGTGTGTGTGCTCGCATGTCAAGATGACGGGAGCGATTGTTACAGATTTCTGATTACCTGCGCTGCTCGGTTAAGATGGCTGTGTATGGCATGTCTCAACCTACACGCATGCGCATGAATGCGCACCACCAGTATGTGGCAACGGTGTGGTGGTGTTGCGGTGTCAAATGATGGTGTCGGCGGCTTAATCGGAAGCTTGCCGGCCTGCACTAGCGGAACATGTGAGCGTGTAAACATGGCCTTCGCACCTGCGTCATAGTCGTTGTGGGCAGCTTCCTAGAGTGTGAACAAAAGTCTGCGTCGCGTGCATATAGAACGGAACTGTGCCACGCGGGGAGATCTGCGCGGAAGAATGCGACGATTATTCGGATGTGTGTTGCTGTTGACGACGCATCGGTGCATGGGCTATGGATCCGAATCTACTGATCGGATGATATTCGCACTGTGCATGTCAGTCACCCTTTTTTTGTTTTCAACGGAGTGTCTGTACAGGTACGTAATTATCCGCTGCCTATAATGTGCTGTATATTCCCCATAGTCTGTACGAAATTCAACCTTCCCTTGTGGCTTTGTTAGTATTTTCCTATCAGGCGGGCGTCTGCAATCCATTGTTGGCTTTCGCGTGGGGAAGGTGCAAAGCCCGTGAAGGTTGCGTCTGGGTAGCGGTGCGTGGCAATTCCGCGATTGACCTGCGAACTATAAAAATTTCTCTGGGGGGTTGGCAGCTTCTGTACTCGGCTAGACTATCTTGATCTGTATTGCCTGCTTTGATGTATATTCTCATTTTAGGGCAATCCATTAATGTAAGCTTTTGGTATCAGAAATATTTTTGGCAGGATAAACTAAACTAACTAACCGGCCAATCATTGACCATGCTGCCAATTCAAGGTATTCCATTGTTCTAGCAAATACAGTGCCGGTGGAATATATGACGTTTGTGTCGAACAGTGGGCCTGTTATGGTGCGTCGTCTGATATGGATCCCTGATCCGCTCCTGTGCGTTAATGAGAACGCCTGCAAATGTGCTTTGATAGTGTCTGCGCATGCCTACCGAGCAGCAGCGGCCGTAGCTAGCGACGACGGGGGGGGGGCATGGAGGGCGATCATTACTTATGTCATGGCGAAGATCATCACACACAAAAACGGATAGTAAGTTTTTTCAGGGCGGTTTTGGATGCCGTGGCATTGCGGTAAGCTTTACGCGATGCGTGCTTTTGACGATTTGGCAACGTGTGCATCAATGGCCGCGATCAGGCGGCAGTGGCTGTTTCATAGGAGCTGAGCCCGTTGCGTCGCCCCGAGACATTTCTTAGTCCCGCCTGCACACTGCTCTGCAGATCATAGTAGATATTCTCCTTATTGATATCCTTATTCTCCACGATATTATTTGTTTACTCAGTTATGCTTTCCCTATTTTATGATCTTTAACAAGCGCAAGATTGTTGTTCTGTGTGTTCGGTGCTGTGTTGTGTTCGGGCAGGCAAACCCATCCACAAGGCTCATTCTGAAAAACAGTGTTTTAATCCACCCGAGGTCGTACGCCAATGTGACTGTCTTCAATGTATAAGATTGTCTTAACCACGCTATGCTTCTGCACACGGGACCTGTATTTCATGAATACGGTATTGGCGAGAATACCGAATCTTGAGACAAATACGCGGCCGGCCGTT